GGCAAAATCTCGTCTGAGCTGGAGAGGCATCGAACCGGGCGCAGATGCTTTGATGTCGGGACAGTGTGCGCTGAAATTTCGGGTGCAAAGGGTGAGTGACGTAATTTAGCACGTTTTGCCCCGGGGTGAAAGCATATTGCAAACGTTATTCTCGCAATGGGGCCAGCAATTTCTTCAGCAGGCATGCTGTTAATCCTAGCTATTGGCATTACGGTTCGACGCAGTAACCTGAAATGACTTCTCCTTCGTGGGCTGGAGAAGTGGTGAGGTGTAGTACTTCATTTGGCGGTGATACAGTCAGTCTGATTAGCCTCAAGAGATAGTAAGAAGACCTGCGAACTTTAACAAGCACTCAGATTGTCCAGTGGTCGGACCACTCGAGTCTATGGTTGAGTATGATCGATCCCAAGATATTATGTAGTGTCATAAGCCGGGATTAACTCACATTCTAGGTTAACTCGATAGTCGATGACGTAGAGTAGATTGGAGGCTAAAAGTACATATTTCGAAGTTTTGCCACTTGAAGATTAATTGGTGATGTGCAAATCTAGGTTTGTTGTTCTCTGAAATATCATGACGATAGGATTATTTCGATGCTTACAAGTGCCCTGAATTTATTGATCCCTATTCGCCCACATCGACAGATGCGATTATTCGCTTCTAATGACCGGTTTTCGCTACTTGATCGTTTGTTCCGAGCGACAAGCAAACTTCAGAAATTCTTTGCTACCCGAATCGCGTACATCGTGGTCGCTGACGTTTTTCAGGCTTCCGTCCATTAAGCCGTCGTTGAGCCATGGCCAGCGTCGGCTGTTCATGGTTTTCGCTAGAATCAATCAATATGTCGATAAATTTTCATTTTAATTTTGTTATTGATTACCGCCATCCATTTAGACCATCCAGAACTAACGACCGGTTTCGATGTTCAACGTAAAATTAGGCTGGACAGCGTACTTCTGAGAAGGACGCATCAAAACACGTTTTCGACCAACAGAATTAGTACTTTAAATTATGATCGGGGTTGAGTGTCAGACTTAGAAATGAAAGGTCCCGGATTGGAGTGCTGGTCAAACCCACTCACCAACTTTCCTTCCGAGATCGATAAATGAGTA